ATAAATATATTGAATGATATAATAATAATATTAAAGGACGTTATGCTATGGAATAGTAAATGTTTATAGTTCAACTTACGTTATGAAACATGGTCTCTTGTAACTTGTTGAAGTCACCTACCATCTTGCCCTGCAACAAAAAAAGTAGACATATTTAGAAGACAATCTCGTAAAGATCACATTGTTTTCCAAGCAAACGAGTCGTCAAATTACATAATAAATTTAAATATAGCCGAGAGATTATCATAATGTCTAAAAACATCGACCACTCCTCTTTGGATTTGAACCGAATGGAGTCAACGAAAGTTTAGAGTCAAAAATGCGTGGTCGAGGAATTTAATACGAAATGACAAGACAATAACTTGACTTTCTGTCTTTTCTTCGAACGCAGTGTTTTATGTTTCTCGCGGTGCGGCTTATGCTTATGCTAATTTGTGATAATTGCCAGCATTTTTGAGTTTCCCGGAGTGCCGCAATCGAGTTTAAAATTCATCGCCGCACACTGCGTAAATCTAGTCGCGGAATGAAATTTCATTTCGTTTTCAATTTTTCAATTTGGCCGGCCACTTTTTTCAACTTTGCCACTTTGGCGGAAACCTCGCATCCAGACCCGACTTTTTCTGACTTGGGAGCGTTCTTCTTTTTTTCGCGCATCGCTTGGCAAACGAGCAAACGTATAAAAACGTAAAGCTCGCGCGGAAATTCGCCAGCATTATAATTTTTAATTCCGCAACAGAGTGAATGCAAGCGCAGAGAGTTTTATACTTTATGGGCCCTTAGGTGGTATGGATTAAGTTATCCTCCGGCAGAATCAAAATAAATTTTATATTATTTTAAAATTGATATCGAAAAAATAAGTAAAAAAATATTTTTAGTTAAAAATTGTTACAGGTAAAAACTTTCCGCCTCATAATTGGAAACATTATTTAGCGACTTTATACTTGAAAAGTTTTGACTTCGTGACTTGTGACAACTCCTTCAAATGCAGCTCAAAATGTGCTTAAAGGAGTGGAAATGAACGTCCATTCTCGTTCGTCTTCATCCCTGAATACAATAATAAATAATTGAGATAAAAACTTTTCCCGCATTCCAAAGCGGCGTTTCGTGACAAAAATCATTATTCATAATTATTTATACAAAGTTTTCGCAAGTTCCTCAACTGAACTTGCCGACAATTTTCCTGCGAAAGTTATCTCATCTTCGACTCTTCTCGAAGTGCTTTTTGCTTCGTGTCGCAGCGACACAAACACACCGAAAAAATCAATGAATACAGTCGCATCAAATAGCATATAATATAAAACAATGACAATCAGCTCTTATTTCGAATTTAAAGTTTTTGCTTGTGAAACAAGTGAATTTCAAGTCACAGTCGAAGTCGAAGTAGATGAACAAGGTATATGTAAATGAGAAATGAGAATGATTTAGTGATTTAGATGAAGTTGCGTCACGATCACGAGCGTTGTAGTGCTTTTTTGTCGTAGTGCAAGTTTCGAGTTCTAGTTTAGTAGTAGCGTGGAAAGCGCGCGCCATTGTTGCACAATTAAATTCGAAACTATTAAGTATTCATTGTAGACATCAATTTGGTCCAAATGACTCAACAATGATTCTGTTTTTATACTGTTGCGAATTGAAAAATGAACTTATTAACAACTACAATGAATATTACAGAATTTAATCTGAAATTCTTAAAAAATGATTTGTTTATTTCCTTTGGCAACGTCTTTTGCATCGATTTTACTGTGGCGATGTCATTACCATTCGATTTTACGACCTTTAAATGAGAAATTCGAACGCGTTTCATCGACTCTGCCGAGTTTTAAGTTGAATTTAGTTGCTATCGAAGTTATAAAACGAAAAATATGTATATTTTTATGTTAATTAAACCGTTAATGTGTTTGAGTCAATTTTAGTGACTGATAAGCAAAGTTTTTTGCCCGAGCTAAAAATTATGATGAGTTTAAAGTGTTTTCCGAACAAAGTTGATGTGAAGTTTGCTAGACAAAGAAATTGTAGCCTCGATGATCGTAAAGTTCAATGTTTTCATGCACGCAGATGCCCCGAAAAAGAATGGGTGGGTGATGCACGAATGTTTATCAGAATGAAGCAATTCCCCCTCGAGTCAAACCGTACGAGTTTATTAAGATAGCGAGCACGAATTGCAGCAGCGCACAAAGCACAATCTAAACAAATTGGAAATTTTTATCAAAACATTAATTGCATATTACCATTGTGTGCACTTTCAACTTTACGGCACTGCGCGTCGCATCCTCAAAGACAAGATATCCACGACTTTAACGCCGAATGGTCGGAACTACGAAAGGACAATGACAACTTTGCGCATAAAGGCGGAATTGCATAATTGTGCACGCAAATAAAAAGCAAAAACGTTGCTTTTTACGTCAACTTTACATTTCACATTCTGAAATTTCATCAAATGTTGCCAACGCTAGAATACTAGAATATGAACTGATATGATCAGAGAGTAAAATTGACGTCGACATCATTTACGAAATTGAGCACTTGGAGCACTCGTTGTGCTCTTCGCTCTTAAGTCTCTTTGCAAGTTACTAAGTCGAATTGTGTCGATGTGTGTCAATGTCGGTGCGCGGGCCACGCCCGCCCATCACGAAACTATTCGATTAAGTTATGCCGAGCTGGCTACTCTGCAAAGTACTTGAAATCGTCTAAGCACCCGTGATTAACTCCAACCGATACAAAAAAGAATCGAAAACACTTATGAATATTTAAGCAGGTCAATTAAAATTCACTTTTTAATGCAAACAACTTCGTTTTCATTCAACGTTTAATCTGTTGATGATGTATCGAACAATAGGCACTTGAAGCACCCACACACATAGCTGTTCTGCCTATATTTTAATAACGATACAATATAAATTTAAATAGAAACACTGCACAAACTCATTTCGATTGGGCGAAAAACAAAATGCGGAAACGAGTAAATAATGGGATTTTATTTTTCAGTTATAAAAATTGACTCTTTGGCAGAGGCCCAACGCATCGATTGGATAACTATTACTTTTTTGTTTTGGCTAGAGCTATTACTCACATATTATACCCAATATATAATGCATTGAAGTACGATACACTCGGATAAAAAAATTAAAAAAATTTTGCGCTCAGAGATAAAAATTACTTTTGTCAGAATGAATAAATTTTGCTTTCGTTCGTGCTTTACATACTGGATAAACGCATTTCACTGCGTTGTTAATAAAATAGCAATGACAAAATTATCACACGACCAATTTAACGCAATTGTGAAAACGTTTAATTGAATGTTGCCGCTGGCGCAGGCGTTGCTGCCGCCATTACCAGTGCAGCACTATTTTTTATTTTTTATTTGTTGCTTTGCTCTTCATCACTAGCAAGCTTTGTGAGTGCCGCGAAAATAAATAAATTTCTGTTGCGCTAATAGTTCAAAGACCCTTTAAATCGCACACATCTTTACCACCCAGCATTTTTTTTAATTTGATGAAATTTACAAGTGCGTTTTTCATTTTCTTTATGAATTTGAAAAATATGTATAACTGCCTATTTAAATGCCAAATCTTAACATAATTCAAGCTTTTTAAAAGTGTTTAAACTGCAATTGAAAATAAATTTCAAAAAGGCGCCTCCACCAAAAATATGAATTTTCAATAAAATAATTTTCAACTATTTTTTGGCACATAATGTAAGAGGCACTGACGATTGCATAATATAAATAGCGGCTGCACAGACATTCGCCTTCACCATCCGGTCACCAGATACTCCAAACCTGCCAGTCCTTTCCCTTTCTTGATTGGATCATTCAAAAAATGCAATGCAAGTGCATTGCAGGCTCGAAAATGTCAGAAACACAGCAGATGTCAGAATAAATAATTAAATATACGCTTGATGAGCTTAATATTATAAGCCGCTGCAGTTGAAACAAGAGACAATTATCAGTTTTTGGGCGCACATAAAGCGCATTCGGCAAAAAACTTTCACGCAAAGCAAAAGGTTACACCACAGTGCCGCAATTAAGCAGGTAAACGAGGTAAATGTGAAGCATGTGCGCCATGTGGGCACTTATTTTTACTTAGTAACTTTTATGCGCGTTATGTGCGTAAAAGTTGCAACACTTTTATTGGGCGCTCTTCCAGAGTGTAACATTAAGACACTTTTGCCTCGGAGGTGATACGAAATGAAAATTCATTGTGTGCCATAAGAACCTATAGTCGTAAACTTTATTTATTATCTTAGATTTAGTGCGAATGAGATTTACTACGTAAAAAGTATTAAATATCAGAATTTTATCATTGTAGGTAATACTAATGCACATCAGGTGTGCATAATACAGAATGCATACAATGCAAATGCAAATTTCACGTTTCGCAAGTTTGGACAGTAAATATGTACAAATCAAATTCGTAGTCCAAGCAAGCAGAAGATAACTGTTTCTGTATGCAACTGACAGCACTAAATGTTCATGACATTAGAAAGATATAAAATTAACAAGCGTTTAATGTAAGTACAAAGTTTAAAACTTAATGTTATTAATTAAGGAAGTCAAAAACTTGCTCAATAATACTACTTCTGCTTATGGTAGTAAATTCACAAATGCATACATTAAAATCAACAAGACGCCTCGTCGACTCGAATATTCAAGGTTTTTAAGTAAAGCAAATAATTAGCAAGGACGTTTCTTTGATGTTCTGCGTTCTGCGCCGAGTTTTTTAACAATGTTTCGTTGCAACTTTCAGGAACACCCCGCTCATTATCGTATGCATAACGACCGATTCAATTATGATGTGCTATAACAGTATTCGTTTGAATTAAATTGCCCAATTATGTTTAACTTTTTAGTATTCTATAAGGGTCCGCGCACACCTAGCGTTGTCGGCGTAATTAAGTCTTATGCAAACTGCAGCGACAATGCTGCCATACTAATTTCCAGTAAGCGTAATAGTCGCGATGCGACCGAGAGGCGATATTGCGACTTCATCGAGGCATTGAATTAGTTGGCGATGTTAATGTAACGAGCATTGCGGAGTCGCCCGGACTAGATTGGCTATGGACTTGCATCCTATCAAGCTTAATTAGTATGCGCCGCCCGGACCCGAATGCAAGCGGTCGCGTGAAATTGTGAAATTCGAGATGAGTCGATGAGGCGCAATTGTTTGGTATAAAAGCCCGCGGCGAAAACGATTTGTTATCAGTTAATCAAATCACTTCAAGCCACATCAATCACAAGCAATACAATGGCATCTAAGGTACCATGAATTAAATCCATTAAAAGTGTGGTAATATAATAATTGTTCATTTTTAGTTGGTGATTCTAATCGTGGCTATCACGGCAACTCGCTTTGCATCCTCGGCTCCAGCCGCTGCGATTGTTCCGGTTGCTGCTGCACCAGTGGCACATGTAGCTGTTTCTGCGAAATTGGCTGAGAGTGAATTTGATCCCGCACCGCAGTATAGTTTCGCCTACGATGTCCAGGATACCCTCACCGGGGACTTCAAATCGCAGATTGAGAACCGCAATGGTGACATCGTCCAGGGACAGTACTCCCTCATCGAACCTGATGGCACCAAGCGCATTGTGGATTACACTGCTGACCCTGTCAACGGATTCAACGCTGTTGTCAGTCGTGCTGCTCCAGTTGCACCAGTGGTAGCTGCCCCGGTAGCACCTGCCCCGGTTAGGATCGCTGCACCGGTGCCAGCTGCTCGTGTTCTGGCACCAGCTCCGGTTGTTGCCAAAATTGCTACTGCGCCCCATTTTCATGCTCAGAGATTAGTTGCTCCAGCTTCACATGCGCATCTTGTGGCTGCACCAGCACCAGTCGCCTACACTGCTCCGCATGCTCATCTTGTGCGACAACCCGTGGGTTTTGCATCGCCCTATGTAACAGTCGTCTAAAATGCAAATTACATAATGCCTCCTCCATTATGTAATGTAATACAATTGCAGCAACTATTCTGATTTTGATCAATGTGTATATATGTATGAATACCTTTAATATGAAATAAAACTGTGTAATGTATTTTTTACTTTCGACTTTCGTCGTGTAACTTAGTTTAAAACGGCAATGACAAGGTCGTTTTGTCGAGCAGTAACGAATAGGATCTCGGAAGCGGATTTTCGTAACCAAAAGTTTTTGTCTCATAGAATTTCGAGGTATTGAATAAGACAAGACACTGGTACGCTATGTTACCATGCGAATATGAAATATGCTAATCATCTCCGCATTCAAAGTGCTGCTGTTTGTGCGCTCTAAACTAGTTTAATTTTTTGATCAGCCCCCCACGCCCAGGAAAGGTCGGTGGTCTTAACAATATGTAAGCAAAGAATGACCTCCCGGGCGTGGTCCTCATTGGTGTGAATCAAATAGGAAATGCTGACCAAAGGTCCTATATAAATGCCGGCGGACTTCTAGCTTGTCATCAGTTTACCTGTGTTAGATACTCAGTGATCAACAATGGCTTTCAAGGTGTGTATTGAAGTTCTTCGTTCTTCACTTACTTGGGAATAATTTTTAATGGAATAAAATGAGTAATTTTGATTGTTTTTTTATGTAGTTCGTCGTTTTCGCCGCTTTCGTCGCTGTCGCCAACGCTGGTTTGGCTCATGTTGCCGCCCCAGTCGGTTATGCTGCTGCCCCAGTAGCTTACGCCGCTGCCGCCCCAGTGCTCGCCAAGACCGTTGTTGCTGAACCCTATGACCCCAACCCACAATACACCTACTCCTACGGCGTCTCTGACTCTTTGACCGGTGATCACAAGAGCCAAGTAGAATCCCGCAGCGGAGATGTTGTCCATGGCCAATACTCCCTTGTTGATGCTGATGGTACCAAGCGCACTGTTGACTACACCGCTGATGATGTCAACGGTTTCAACGCTGTTGTGAGCAAGACCCCACTTGCTGCCCCAGTCGTCGCTAAAGTCGCTGCCCCAGTTGTTGCTGCCCCAGCTGTTGCCACCTATGCTGCCGCCGCCCCAGTTGTTGCTGCCCCAGCCGTCGCTACCTACGCCGCTGCCCCAGTTGTAGCTAAGGCCGCTTATGCTGCCCCAGTCGCCACCTATGCTGCTGCCCCAGTTGTAGCTAAGGCCGCTTATGCTGCCCCAGCTGTCGCTTACTCCACCCACGCTGTTGCTGCCCCAGCTGTCGCTACCTATGCTGCTGCCCCAGTTGTTGCCAAGGCTACTTATGCTGCCCCAGTCGCCACTTACGCCGCTGCTCCAGTTGTCGCTAAGGCCGCCGTCGCTGCCCCAGTCGCCACCTATGCTGCTGCTCCAGTCGCCACCTACGCTGCTGCTCCAGTCGTCGCTAAGGCCGCTTATGCCGCCCCAGCTGTCGCTTACTCCACCCATGCCGTCGCTGCCCCAGCTGTAGCCACCTATGCTGCCGCCCCAGTCGTCGCTAAGGCCGCTTACGCCGCTGCCCCAGTCGCCGCCTATGGTGCTTATGCCGCCCCAGCTGCCTACGCCCACTACGGCCCAGCTGCCTACTCCGCCTACGCCGCCCCAATCGCTAAGGCTTACTATTAAATAGCATCCCTGACGTAACTTAAGCCATGTGTAAAATATTCTTTTATCTATATAAAAAACTTAAAAACTATTGCATCCATCATATTTATCAATATGTCTAAAGCTGCACGAACAAACAGCAACAATTCTGTGATAAATTAGTATTGCATCGTTTAACATTTTGCCAGCTACTAATTTGGCGATGCCGAATATCGACCGACCACTCCCAGCGCTGACCTTTAAAGAAGCAGTTTTGTCTCAGGGCCATCTGCGCGCGAGTAAAACACAAGTAAAAGTAACCAAATTTAACAAAACCACCTACATTACAGCAACAAATTTGCGTACAACTCCTCATAAGTTACATACATTTGCAAAAAACGATAAACTTCTATGTGATTTCCTCTAAAACACATATTTAGCATCAATATTCAATAATTCAACACGCGAAATAAGAGCGACATAATTGTCACGCAGAGAGAACGTGCTACACACACAGCGTATCCAAAGGCTATGTGAATTCAATGCCAAATACGTAACTTGTTAAGTAATGAATTACATTTCACTGCCGATTAACCCGGTTAAGCTCGGTCGCACTAAACCAAGCGCAGGTATGTCGAACAACGTCGTCGCCGCTTACACTCGCACAATTGACGAAGAAAGTAAAAGTTACGACGCTTCCAAACTGACGGGCCTGATGGAGGAGCACCACGCAAGTTCACACACACGCCGTCAATCGAAATCGAAAGCATCGATGCGTGCGGCGATTAGTGAAACGCAATTAAACGTAATCGCTCTTCTGGATCAGAGAAGACGAGAGAATCACTATGATAACATCGTAAGAACTCAATTCCAGTGTTAGCATTGATGAATCATTCAAGCCAAGCGAGTGAATTATTTTTGAACCTAATAGGATTTTAGCTCAGAAGTGTGCAAAATTGAGAGCATATCTTGTGACATGGTAACTTCTCGTATAATGGGCTTCAATGTCAACATGTTGAATACTTATTGCACTTTTACCCTTTCTCTGTTTTTGGAGTGCAATATGCAAGATGTTTGCACCAATACCTGTTTTGTGAGTTTTTGTCATGTACTTGTACTTGTACTTGAAGATACTCGTATTTTGGTATTGCAAGGGTTGGTAGAGTTTTTGGTATAAATTGCGCTGGATGATTGCAGTTTGCATCAGAGTCTTCTGTGCTTCAGTTCTTCGAACAGTCACTACAGTACTTTAACAATCTTCAAATCTCCAAAATGGCATTCCAAGTATTTTTTTCTCTTCATTTACTAAAATTGATTCTAATAAGTTGATTTGTTGCAGTTTGTAGTCTTTGCCACACTTTTGGCAATTGCCAACGCTGGTCTCCTAGCAAGCCCACAACTTCAATACAGCGCACCATTGGCCTACGCTGCTCCAGTAAAAACCTACGCTGCACCAATCGCTAAAATCGCCACCCCTGTCCTCACCAAAACCCTGGTCCAAGAAGAATACGCCCCAGCTCAATACAACTTCGGTTATGATGTCCAGGATGGTCTCACTGGTGACAACAAGGAACAACATGAACAGCGTGACGGAGACATCGTCACCGGTCGTTATGCTTTGAACGATCCCGATGGTTACCGCCGTATTGTAGAATACACCTCTGACCCAATCCATGGATTCAACGCGGTTGTCCGTCGTGAACCACTCGGTGCCCCTGTTGTTACCAAGGTTGCCACCCCAGTCATCGCCAAAGTTGCCACACCTGTAGCATATGCTCCAGCGTTGCACGCTGCTCCCTTGGCCACACCATTGATCACCAAAACATTGGCAACTCCCATCAGCTACCAAGCTCCCGCTCCACTTGCCTACCAAGCACCAGCTCCTTTGACCTATGCTGCTCCAGCTCCTCTTGCTTATCAGGCCCCTATTGCCAAACTGGCATACCCAGCGCCCACAACCTACATTCACTAAGTGAAATACTCTGGCTGTTATTATATTTATTGACCTATTGTAAGACCCGCACCATCATTATAAATAAAATTTGATTATCATTTAATTTTAATTGAGTAATTTAATTTAAAACTGCAAAAAACATAAATATTTCCTGCTATTATTGTAATTGTTTAAAAAAAAGTAAATGCTAAAGAATAGCATGAGAATTCCGTGGGAATTTTAAGACAGATCATGGTCATTGAACACTCTCAATCTCAATATGCAGAATGAAGCAATTAACGCGCAAACAAATTCGGCGTTGCTATTGAGCGTGAATTACCAAAAATAAATATTCAAGTTTCTATTTCGTTCTATCGCGAGAGCAAATCTATTCATTTATGAATTATGATAATTTTATCGTTTTCAGTGTCAAATTTCAACATCACAAGGCTGATTTTATACGAATTAATGTTTAATATATTTTCGAACTTAAATTCAATACCAGAACAATTTTAATGCCATTAAAACATAAACTAATTGCGATTGCATTTATTGCAATTAATTTTAGGCAGATTTTAGGCGTTTTATTTGTGTGAATTTGATGTTATTAAAACTTAATAATCAATACTTGTATATTGCTTCATGATGATATTGCTACTGTCCAACGGCACATATGTTGTGTGATGTTAAAGTTGTAATTGATGTGCGCACCGTCTGTTGATGCGTGACGCAACACGTTCATGTCCACATTGTTTTGTAAAAAGCGCATTATTCCGTGCATGTCTCAACGCGTGGTGCAGCACGCTGAAAGTCGACATAAATAAGAAATTGACCTTTCCAAGGGCGGCGCATTGGTAACTGGCTGTGCTATGGCGAATTTAATTTCGGTCAATTTTGGGTAGGTCTCTGGTTCGCCCCACTAACTCTCCTCGCTTGGTTCCTCTTCGCGAAATATATAAGCGCAGCATGCAGGCGTACTCTTCACAATTCGGTCTTCAATCGCTTAGTCGAGTCAACATGGCATTCAAGGTAAATATCGATTTCTTTTGATTTTTCTAAAAAATATTTTTATGTTGAATAACAATAAATAATATTTATTTGTTGCAGTTTGTTTCTTTCGCCGCCCTTTTGGCTGTTGCCAATGCTGGAGTTTTGGCCCCAGTTGCCGCCCCCGTAGCCTACAGCGCCCATGCTGTAGCTGCCCCAGTAGCCCACGCTGCCTATGCTGCTCCAGTTGCCCACGCCTATGCTGCTCCCATTGCTAAAGTCGCCGCTCCAGTCGCCTATGCCGCCCCTGTAGCCTACGCCGCCCCAGTTGCCAAAGTAGCCGCCCCAGTTCTAGCCAAGACCGTTGTCGCTGAAGAATTCGACCCTCATCCACAATACCAATACGGTTACGGTGTTGAAGACCATCTGACTGGTGACAGCAAATCCCAACACGAAGTTCGTGATGGTGATGTTGTCCAAGGCTCCTACTCCGTTGTTGACCCAGACGGCACCAAGCGTACTGTTGACTACACCGCTGATGATGTCCATGGTTTCAACGCTGTTGTCCGCAAAGAGGCTTTGGTTGCTAAAGTAGCTGCTGCTCCAGTTGTTGCCAAAGTTGCCGCCCCTGTTGCCTATGCTGCTGCGCCAGTCGTCGCTAAGACCTATGCTGCTGCCCCAGTAGCCCACTACGCTGCTGCTCCAGTCGCACACTACGCAGCTGCCCCAGTTGCTCATGCCGTGCATGCCGCCCCAGTTGCCGCCCCTCTTGGTGCTGCCTACTACCATCACTAAATGTGTCATATGACTCTTTGTATATATAACTTAATGTGTAACTATTTTATTTTTTAATTTACCAATTTATTAAAGCAAATTGAAAATTAATATCCATTGATTATATTAAAACACCCTGTATGTTATGTACATCCATGTGGATTGTATCATGCAAATTGAGTCATGTTTGCATCTGAAGGCCCAGGACACGAATCTAATAGCTTTCTACCAAACATGATTTACTATTCAAAGAACGTACCTACCCAACATGCAAAACAGCAAGACGTGCTGAAACCACCAAATAGAAAACGTTTTTTAATTAACTTAACTAATTTTTAACTTTTTTCCTCCCCCGCTGAATCAATGAGAATACAAATTTTAACCGAAACAAAGATCCCAGATCCCTGTGGTAATTAGAGTATGTATATTGTCGAACTACTAGTTCTGAATCTCTCTGCCTTCGGCATACATTTAAGAAGTCAAACTAATTAATTAGTTTGTTCCAGCTCGGCACCGCCTGCCGCGCTCGCAATTATTCTCGATCTCGCTCTGCCTCTCTATCGATAAGTGACATTTTCGAGAAAGACGAAAACGTGCAGTTGTGAGATAACTAAACAGAGAAATTGCAAAGGAGACGTCAAACTATGTCTTAAACTAATGCAAATTAAATTAGCCCGGTACCCATAACGCACATCCCATGCGATCAATCAATGTGAAATTCCACAGCGGAAAGACACCAACTGAAAATCGAATTGTTTCATCAACAAGTTCCCCGAAGGAGGATGAATGAGTATCTTTGGATTCTATTTGTTATGAAGACGTTGACGTGTCTGCTGAAATAATTGTCAGAAAACGCATGACGCACACCGCACATTTCTCAATTTCCTGTGGATTAATTCGCGCATGGTCACATAATATGCGCTGGCGCAAAATTTCAATCACGCAATACCATCGAACTTGATTGAATTGTTTTACGAGTAGTTAAGAAGAAATTAACCTTGGTTATATTGTAAATTGTAAAGTAATCACTTCGTGAAGACCTAATTGTTATAGTTTAATAAAAATTGCTGAGATTACGTGTGATTTATGTGATATATTTAGTTGATTGTTGGTAGAGTGTAAAATCATTATGATTCTTGGCGTGGCAATAAAATTGGGTTAGGGTCTGATGGAATTGCCGTCGGCGCAAACGAAAGTGGAGCCATTGAATGACCTGCTCGCGCAATCTGATCGCTGGGCGCAGAAAAAGTGAGACATTTCGACGACGAGTGAAATCCGTGCGCGTAGGTAACCGTGACCTTGTTTGAGGTGGGTCCGCAATTAGGGTGTGGATGAACCACCACCAAAAATTGTGAATGTGTTAATCAAGTATATAAACTCGGTGATCCGGAACGGTGAGCACAGTTCACTCGTTGACTAGTCTCAAGACATCAAGTAAAATGGCTTTCAAGGTATGGACTATTAACCATCAAATTGATTATAGTGTTTAAAGTGTTATGAGGTAGTGAATTAGTGGATATTAAATTACGATTTGTTTCTAGTTCGTCGCTCTCGCTACCCTCTTGGCTGTTGCCAATGCTGGTCTCCTCCCAGCCGCTCCAGTGGCTTATGGTGGATACGCCGCCCCAGTGGCCCATGCCGCTTATGCTGCCCCAGTTGCTCATGCTTATGCTTCCCCCATCGCTAAAGTCGCTGCCCCAGTCGCTTATGCTGCCCCAGTTGCCAAGGCTGTTGTTGCTGAAGCCTACGACCCTCATCCACAATACAACTACGGATATGGTGTTGATGACCATCTGACTGGTGACAGCAAGAGCCAACACGAACAACGTGACGGTGATGTTGTCCAGGGTTCTTACTCCTTGACCGACTCTGATGGTTTCCGTCGTACTGTTGACTACACCGCTGACCCAATCCACGGTTTCAACGCTGTTGTTCGTCGTGAGCCTCTCGCCGTTAAGGCTGTTGCCCCAGTCGTCGCCAAGGTCGCTGCTCCAGTCGCCTATGCCGCTCCAGTAGCTAAGGTCGCCGCTTACGCCGCCCCAGTTGCTCATGCTGCCTATGCTGCCCCAGTAGCCCACGCTTATGCTGCTCCAGTAGCTCATGCCTACGCTGCCCCAATCGCTAAGGTTGCCGCTCCAGTAGCCTACGCCGCTGGCCCAGCTGCCTACTACCACCATTAAGGATTCCAAAAATCTCAGCATATATTTATTATATTTATTACTGAAAAAATAAAATCTATGCAACTGCTAAACTATTGTGCTTTCATCCCCTTTAACCCTCTTTCTAAAGACCCCGAATAGATCTATCGCTTATTCCAAGTCAGATTTCGTATATAATTTAACCCCATAATTATATATCAGCTAAAAAATAACAAAAATTGATCAATTATTCTCTCTGGAGCTAAATTAACTTGAAGCATTTTAATGTTGATGTTGATTGCTTATGTTTGATATGATTGATTAAATAATAAAAGTTTTGTCAATCTTGATGGTTCATGTGTTAATAAAGCGAAATATTTCTTATACATTTATAGTTTCACTTTAATAAATTTCCTGATTACTTCCTAATTTCAATTTTCATTTTTTTGTTCAAAAACAAACGTAGTTTTAGAAATGGGCTGCCAATAACACAATATAATTTAGATAAGCTAATGACGCATAAAAATTTACCATTTAACCATCCGCAGACTATAATACTCATATTACTGTAATAGAGAAAGTACTGCCATTGTACTACTCTAATTTAGCTGCATGAATGGCTGATGTAATACAGATCGAGTTAGACAAGATCATAAAATTGCGTGGGCCGCATTCTGTCACTAACAACAATTTCAGCCACATATCTGTTCTAAACTTATACGTCAAATCAAAGCACATTTGGTATTATGTGACAGTAATATGTCTAAGGCTAAGGACAAAATTCCAAAATTACCTCAATGTGATCTAGATTATAAGACTTGATTAAAAACCACAAAAAGAGTCAAAACCCGCTGAATAAATGTATTTATAAAACTGGAGCATTTCTAATTACACACATCTAATCGCGTATAATTTGCGTGCGTAATATTACGCGTATCCCAAAACTCGAACAGTGCCCAAGCAAGTTTGCAAATACACGTATCTTATCGATGGTGAGGTGACCAATCAATATTTCGCATTGTTACGACATATTATCCGGTTGGCGAATTGGTGGTGTATTATATCCAGTATAAATAGCAGTACAAGTCACTGTTGGAGTATAGTTTGTTTCGAACTCAACTGAACAACATCAACATGGTCTTCAAGGTACTTGTTTAGTGTTACATCGACTATTAAACAAAGACTTTTGCAAGGAGCTATAATCGGATTATCTGTTTACAGTTTGTCGCTTTCGCCGCTTTGGTCGCCGCTGCCAATGCTGGTGTGATTGCTAACACCTACGCCGCCGCCCCCTTGGCTTACGCAGCCCCTATTGCTAAAGTAGCCGCTCCTTTGGCTTATGCTGCCCCAGTAGCCAAGGCTGTTGTTGCTGAGGCCTACGACCCTCATCCACAATACAACTACGGATATGGTGTTGATGACCATCTGACCGGTGACAGCAAGAGCCAACACGAACAACGTGATGGTGATGTTGTCCAGGGTTCTTATTCCTTGACCGACTCTGATGGTTTCCGTCGTACTGTTGACTACACCGCTGATCCAATCCACGGTTTCAACGCTGTTGTCCGTCGTGAACCCCTTGCCGTTAAGGCTGTTGCCCCAGTCGTTGCCAAAGTAGCCGCTCCCCTCGCCTATGCTGCCCCAGCTGCCTACTACCACCATTAAATGAAAAATTTATTTATTTATTTATTTATGCTGAAATAAATTATTGAAAAACCTAGTTTTGAGTAATCACTTTTTACACCCGGATGAGCTATCGATGAGTTTGCATCTGACAAACTTCATTAAATAATTTGATTTGTTGTGCACCAGTACTTTGAAATCAAATAAATTTTCATGAATATTATGCTCGCATATCATAATAAATATTGGAAATGCAACAACATTTTTGAAATTATTATATACTTTGATATAGTCATTAAACTAAATATTCGCATTGTTTATACAGAATTATCATATATAGAATTTAACGAACCAAAAAATTGCCAAAATTTTTTTCTATTTTACCCATTTTTCCTTATGAATTATTTTCAATTCCTCTTATTTTCCCGATTTTATTATTTTCTAATAGAGAATTTCTCGTAGATTCATAATCTTCAATCCGCTCTTCTCTATCGCTTTGAGGTTACGAAATATTCACCGAAAAACTTTTCATTAAAAATATGAAAAAGCACCCTTTATAGTATTTTTAGTCACTTTTTCTAAATTTTGCCGATATAAATTTTTATATTTTATTATATTAAATTATACTATAAACAAAATTCCGTAAAGTAAGCATCTGTAATCGGTTTGTATCCATCGCTTTTAATTTTCAAGATTAACGAGTAATCGTATAATAATGATTTCCAGGTAAACACAAATTAATTTCCATTATTCACGTAGACACTTCTGAACATATTCTCCGCTATCAAACAAAATAATGCAATTAACGGAAATCTACTTAAGGCAATAATACCTACATTCATTTTCATCATAATGCATAGAAAACAATTAGTAATTATGAATAATTAGTACAATGCTCAATAATAATATAAATCCGAGGACGTAATTTGTTAATGTTACTTCAACTGTTAGCTGTATGAGGTCTGTTACCAAATGACAAAAATAATAATAAAAAGTGAAAACCATTTCTCCGAAGCACAATTTTCGATTGCTCCAGTTTAAATGTGAACAAGTTTAGACGACCTTGTCTTGCGGTGGTGGTAGCAGGTCATAACCGAATAATGAAATCCTTGCTAACCGTCGCGTCAGAGAAAGCTTTTTTCATACGATATAAATAGCCGCACGAGCCAATGGTCAATCACAGTTTGTTTGTAACTCAACACAACAGCTTCATCATGGTCTTCAAGGTACATGCTTCTTACATTTACCAAAGACTATTGTGCCTCGCCAACAACAACGAGTTTATTAATTGGATTATTTAATTTTAGTTCGTCGCTTTCGCCGCTTTGGTCGCCGCCGCCAATGCTGGTGTGATTGCCAACACCTACGCCGCCGCCCCTTTGGCTTACGCCGCCCCTATTGCTAAAGTAGCCGCTCCCTTGGCTTATGCTGCCCCAGTTGCCAAGGCCGTAGTTGCTGAAGCCTACGACCCTCATCCACAATACAGCTACGGATATGGTGTTGATGACCATCTGACCGGTGACAGCAAGAGCCAAGTTGAATCCCGTGACGGAGATGTTGTCCAGGGCTCTTACTCCTTGACCGACTCTGATGGTTTCCGTCGTACTGTTGACTACACCGCTGACCCAATCCACGGTTTCAACGCTGTTGTCCGTCGTGAACCCCTTGCCGTTAAGGCTGTTGCACCAGTCGTCGCCAAGGTCGCTGCTCCAGTCGCCTATGCCGCCCCAGTAGCTAAGGTCGCCGCTTACGCCGCCCCCATTGCCCATGCTGCTTATGCTGCCCCCATTGCCCACCACGCCTATGCTGCCCCAGTAGCTCACGCTGCCTACGCCGCCCCAATCGCTCACCACGCCTATGCTGCTCCAGTTGCTCATGCTTACGCCGCCCCAGTCGTCGCTAAAGTAGCTGCCCCAGTCGCCGCCTACTCCACCTATGCTTCCCCAGCTGCCGTGTACCACCATTAAATTATTAAAAATTGTAACCTAATTTATGATGAAATAAAATATTGAAAATCCAAGATATGCTTTTACTTTATCAATTGAAAACTGATCTATACCCTTGCTCTATTATTACGCAAACTGCTTCTATTTGCAATAATTTAATTAGTTAATAATTAATATTATTAGGTAGTGACCTTGTAAATTTTAGCGGGTACAAGGTGAATACCTAAATTCATAACTGCTCCATAAAAGTAACTATCCATATGGTACTATTTTAGCGGAATATTTGTAAATATTTTTAAGGAATAATATTCTACATATTTTCATGGTTCATGAACATCCACAAAATTGTAATTAACACATTTATATGCATAATAAAAGTATGCATAAAAAAAATGAATACATCATTATGTAATATTCTCTCTATAATTTCTACACGCAAGAAAATTCTTTTATAAAAATTCGGTTAGTGAAAGATGAGAATAAATTTTATTTAAATAAAAAGAATGTAGATTACTTCTTAAATTTACCAGATAATATAATATAGTAGAATGAGCAATAGACTAAGAGCCCGTGACGGCCAGACATTCGTCATTTTAGGAAAGATGAAATTTTGTCCATGTATTTCTCCAACACAGGTAAGAACGATCCCCCATTGTGAAACCTGGATCGTGGTTCCTTTGGCAGTTAACAGCCAACAAAGATGTACACTTGATGACCTATGTTTCGTTATTTTAGCAAACTCCATTTTTGCATATTTTGTACGAAACATTATTATAACATGCGCTGCTCATTGCCAGTCACCTGGTATGGTTCCAACCCTAGCCAGACACCCCTAAAGTATAATATTTTTGAACTGTTTTACTTTCGTTATATCAGGAAAGCTGAATTTGATACACATTATACAGAGAGCTATGAAATTGTGTTTTCTTTCGCGCCAGACAGTTTGGTCGGTTCTATCATCCTGCCAGACGCATTGAAAGTGTATAAAAGTTGCAAAAGTTAAATTGTGTAAACATGAAAATTTCAGAGAATAGTTATTTTATTTGAACAAATATTTAATAATAATCATCACTGTCGTCGATAACTTTGCGATTCGTTCTTTTCTATCTTCTTTAGTTTACGAGATATTAGCAATTGAAATAAAACGTCAAAAATTGAAAAATTGCACTTTTGAGCACTTTCAGTCGCGGTTTCAGTCGCGGTATCGAGAACAATGATAAAAATTAATAAAGATTTGTTAAAATAAAATTACTATTTTCTGAAACTTTCATGTTTAAACAATTTAACTTTTGCAACTTTTATACACTTTCAATGCGTCTGGCAAGATGATAGAACCGTCCAAACTGTCTGGCGTGAAAGAAAACACAGTTTCATAGCTCTCTGCATAATGTGACTCAAATTCAGCTTTCCTGATATAACGAAAGTAAAGCAGTTCAAAAATATTATAGTTTAGGGGTGTCTGGCTAGGGTTGGAACCATACTAGGTGTCTGGCAATTAGTAGCGCATGTTATAATAATGTTACGAACAAAATATGTAAAAATGGAGTTTGCTAAAATAACGAATTTGAGGTCATCATTTGTACATCTTTGTTGGCTGTTAACTGCCAAAGGAACCACGATCCAGGTTTCATAATTGGGGATCGTTCTTACCTGTGTTGGAGAAACACATGGACAAAATTTCATCTTTCCTAAAATGACGAAAGTCTGGCCGTCACTGGCTCTCGCTCTACAATTACTATTACGTGGATCAAGTGTGAATTAAATAAATGACCGACATTCCATTCGTGCGTGTAAATTCACAAAAGAGTATGCTAATCGATAATTTAATATATGTTTTGGTGCCAATGAAATTGAAATTGATCGAGATTTGATTAAGAGAGGCCAAAAACCAAAGCAATGCGAAGGTTTTGTCGAACAAGTTTTCTGATGTAATGAGACGTAATGCTTTTGTGCTTCGATTAATCTAATTAAGTAATTAATAGTGAAATAATTAATAGCGCTCCTTGCAAATGTCAAATTAAGAAAACCCCATATTTGTTCGATTTTGCACATGATTTCGTTGATTTTATAATGTGGTACAAATTGATTAGCATTTTAAATCATCGAATTGAACTGGAGCACATCTAAATTATGTTTCAAGTATTGATGACGACCTTAAACAAGGGCGTGTCTGCTTAATTTGGTTTTCAGATTAAAATATTCATCACATTTTGTGTATAAAAGCGCAGGTTTGAACTGAAATCATCACAGTTGTCTATCGTCAACAGTTCTTATCAATACTTCAAAATGGTCTTCAAAGTAAGATTTTAATAAGAGTTAAAATTAAATTATTATCAAATAATAATTATTTTTTGTTTAGTTTGTTGCTTTCGCCGCCTTGGTCGCCGCCGCCAATGCTGGTGTCATTGCCAATACCTACGCCGCCGCCCCAGTGGCCTACTCCGCCCATGTTGCCACCCCATTGACCTATGCTGCTCCCATCGCTAAAGTAGCTACTCCAGTCATTGCTAAGGCCGTTGTTGCTGAACCCTTCGATGCTCATCCACAATACAACTACGGATACTCCGTTCAAGATGGTTTGACCGGTGACAGCAAGACCCAGCATGAACAACGTGACGGAGATGTTGTTCAAGGCCAATACACCGTTGTTGATGCTGATGGTTTCCGTCGTGTTGTTGACTACACCGCTGACCCAATCCACGGTTTCAACGCTGTTGTCCGTCGTGAACCCCTCGCTGTTAAGGTCGCCGCCCCAGTTGTTGCTAAAGTAGCTGCCCCAGTTGCTTACGCCGCCCCAATCGCCAAAGTTGCCACCTATGCTGCTCCAGTTGCTCATGCCACCTATGCTGCCCCAATTGCCCACCACGCCTATGCTGCCCCAGTAGCTCATGCCTACGCCGCCCCAGTCGTCGCTAAAGTTGCTGCCCCAGTTGCCGCCTACTCTACCTTTGCTTCCCCAGCTGCCGTCTACCACCATTAAATAATTTATTAAAATTATTTATTTAATTTATTGTGATTAATAAAGCAAAACTGCAAAACTATGAATGATTACAGTTTTTAAAATCCTACATCATGTAAACTGAATTGAGCAAAAAACAGCTTTCTACCTAGCTTCTAAAAAACTTTATTGCATTGCCCACGTCATTGGTAAACGACAAGTATTCAAATTTATGGAAAATGTCATTTAACTGGATTTAACTGGAGCAATTCTTTTGACAAGTCAAATAAATTGCTGATTATTTATTTGATTTGCCACAAAATAACGAAAATTACCTAATTTACACCTCTGGTTTCTATGGTGGTAGACAATGTGGCAGGGAAATTCAATCCAATATAAATATGCGGTATTATTTTAGCAAAAGCACAGTTGATCACTCAACAGTTCAATCCTACAAACTCAAAATGGTCTTCAAAGTAATACTGATATTATTATAACTTAGATTGACTCCAATACTTAATCATTTTTCTTTCAGTTTGTTGTCTTTGCCGCTCTGGTCGCCGCCGCCAATGCTGGTATAATCGCCAATACCTACGCCGCCCCATTGGCTTACTCTGCTCATATTGCAACTCCAGTTGCCACTCCAGTTCTTGCAAAAACCGTCGTTGCTGAACCCTACGACCCTCATCCACAATACAACTATGGATATGGTGTTGATGACCATCTGACTGGTGACAGCAAAAGCCAAGTTGAATCCCGTGATGGTGATATTGTCCAGGGTTCTTACTCCTTGACCGATGCTGATGGTTTCCGTCGTACTGTTGACTACACCGCTGACCCAATCCACGGTTTCAACGCTGTTGTCCGTCGTGAACCCCTCGCTGTTAAGGTTGCAACCCCAGTTGTCGCCAAAGTAGCTGCCCCAGTTGCTTATGCTGCTCCAATTGCACATGCCACCTATGCCGCCCCCATTGTCCATCACGCCTATGCCACTCCAGTAGCTCATGCTTATGCTGCTCCAGCTGCCATTTATCACCATTAGATTCATATGATTTATACAATTATGTATTTATTTATAACTAAATAAAATATAAAATTTTACAGTAAATTTCTTCATTTCTCCAAGAAAACACAAGTTCTTCGATTTCTAAACAAAAACCCAAAACACAAAATAAACATAAATCTAAATTTTACGCCCTGGTCCGCTGGCGTCTTTGAGAAGAACATAATCACCTAATTAATTTCCATAACAAATTATCGTTGCAGTCCTTAGTACTTGCACACCGAAGCGCGTCCCGTAATTGCCCCATCAATTCCAATTTCAAGATATTCCGCGCAGTTAGGGTGAACATAATTCACATCGAATCGGATTTATCTTGCAACGGCAACGGCTTTGCATTCGGCATTCAGTGTTCAGCATTCAGCATTCAACGTTCAGCAGACTGCAGCAAACTGCCGCGTGCATTCTGTAATCAGCTTTCGCCAATGGCTAAACTTGGACTTAATGGCGGCGACGCGCTTGGGACTTAGACTTGTAACTCAAGTCACCTGGCAAATGATAGACTGTAAATCGTATTCCTTGATTGTCAACTGAATATATCTGGACACGTGGAAATTCCAAAAAAGTTTTTCTACTTCCATTATTAAAACGCAAGTTTTTCTACGGTTTTGAGACACATGGAGTCGTACTTTAAACACGGACGGACAATGCCGTGACTAATGTACTTTAGTCACAGGCTTTAGTCATAAATTGCGTACGCATCACGTGGTTAAACGTTGTTAAACACTCGATTGATTAAACGCTTGCTACGCTCGCTTTTAATCAAATCCGTGACAAAAATTCTTGTTTAGCCACTTAATATTTAATTATTTTCAGATTTTCGAAGGCTAAAACTCCTGAAGTCAAATTCTGTAGCACCAATTGTAATAATTCTTTTATTTTCAAAGTTTTATATGATTATTATAGTACCTAGATATCCAAAAATATAATATTTAATTAAAATATAATAAAATCTTAATTTATTCTGAATAAATTTCCAAATTGAAGTCATGATCGCTATTAATATAAACGAATTCATAACGCCAAGTTCAAGTTCCGACCAATTAACGAATGTCACTCTAAAGCAAAGTGTTTGCATAATAGACAACTAGTTGTGTCAACTCATGACCATTGATATATTTTGATTCACATTTAAAGTGATTTGCATTATTCTTTCTTCACTTTCCCGCATGGTTTTAAGCTTGACCACCAGTTGGTATTTTACTAAAATTGTAAAACTGGAGCAGCTTCAATGATACAAATGAGTATTATTCGCAGAGATAATCTAACCAGTCACGCCTTTGTCCAAAATTTACATCGCGTTACGCAAGTGTAAAGTTATACGGGCCAAGAAATTAGTATATAAGCGAAATGGAGTTGATGGCTTATCACAGTTGTCCCAATAGTCAACCAACACACAACAAACAAAATGGTCTTCAAAGTAAGTCTACTTGTTTAATATTACTGAGTAATATTTCTTTAAATAAATGTTATTTATGTTTAGTTCGTCGCTTTCGCCGCTTTGGTCGCCGCCGCCAATGCTGGTGTGATTGCCAACACCTACGCCGCCTCCCCATTGGCTTACGCCGCCCCTATTGCTAAGGTAGCCGCTCCCTTGGCTTACGCCGCCCCCGTTGCCAAGGCTGTTGTTGCTGAGGCCTACGACCCTCATCCACAATACAACTACGGATATGGTGTTGATGACCATCTGACCGGTGACAGCAAGAGCCAAGTTGAATCCCGTGACGGAGATGTTGTCCAGGGTTCCTACTCCTTGACCGATGCTGATGGTTTCCGTCGTACTGTTGACTACACCGCTGACCCAATCCACGGTTTCAACGCTGTTGTCCGTCGTGAACCCCTTGCCGTTAAGGCTGTTGCCCCAGTCGTCGCCAAGGTCGCTGCTCCAGTCGCTTATGCCGCCCCCATCGCCCACCACGCCTACGCCGCCCCAATTGCTCACGCTACCTACGCCGCCCCTATCGCTCACCACGCCTATGCTGCCCCAGTAGCTCATGCTTACGCCGCCCCTGTCGTCGCTAAAGTAGCTGCCCCAGTCGCCGCTTACTCCACCTACGCTTCCCCAGCCGCCGTGTACCACCATTAAATTATTTTAAATTAAGTTTATTTATCATGCATTAAAAATGTTCGAAAAACACACTCCATGTTTTATTTACCTTCATGAAACTAATTAAATACCCGACTAACTACATTGTTGATTATTTAAAAACATTTCGTAATTACAATCACAAATTCAATGTGCTAAAAGCATAGCTTTCAGCGCAAACAAAACGACACATCATTCATTCCCGGCGCAAATTTTTAATAATTAGGTTTGCATACTTTTATAGCTGACAACCAAAATGCGTTCATATTATAATTATAGTCATTTACATGTGAGCGTGCCCGAAGCGCCATGGTTCGCAATTCTGACCAGCGTACTCCGAGCGCATTAAAATTTCATTCAACTTTTTGATTTACGACGAATGACTGTTTACTATTTTGTTAATTGCAAAAACGCTCGAGCTTGCAACTAGTTCGTTTAAAAACATGCCCGCACTAGTTCTATACTACAACCAGGGCACAAAAAATTCATTTAAAAATCTTTTATATTTATGGAAGTATAAATATAGAAACGCGTAATAATATGTAATTGTAAAATATTATAAATGTTTAACTCATTATTTATTTCAATTAAATTCAATTTTTTGTAGCGTATTGCAAAACTGGTTGGATTTGACATTTTCCACTTGTAGCTTGTCACTGCGATAATTCAAACAAATAAACACAGAGTTTTATTTGTGTTGAAGAACGCCAAAGGCAACAACAAACAAATGCATTTAATCACTACAACTGCACTGCAAAACCATATTTCAATAAAGTTTTACGCAAAAAATATACGAATTTAAAACAGATTTTTTATTCGTGTTAAAAATTAACACAACTTCCTTATTGAACTCCTAAAAATACTCCTCTTACTCGTACACGTAAACAAATTAAAAAATCGTTTATAAAAAGCACACGTGTTGATTTTATTGATGATGCGACGCAGTAACGTCGCAACGTGACTTTATTATTTACGAGCTGCCGGTCAAATTAAGAAACGAAGCGATGCGTGATATGCTTTTGCAACGAAATTGACATTTCACCGAAATGCGATGACGAAAATATATCGTACACATAACTGGATCAGTCGCATTGTCACCATTCGCTGCTGTTTGCCCAACGGACAGCAGTTGATTTAGATGCTCGAGTGAGAATCAATTATGGCGTTTATGTAGCATTTAAAACCGTGTGTGTAATTGCACAACGTTATGAAATCGCAGTGCGTGTGTGTTTACACCTGAACTTCAAAATGTTATGAAAGTGTTATAATTTCCAAATGCGATCAGCGCTGGCGGCGTGTCACCTGATTATAGGAATTTGCTGCTTTGATATTTGCTCGGAGTATTTAATGCATACTAATCTTGTATCTTGACCTTAACGCAGTTTTTTTTGAGAGTTGAGATTTCGGAGTTTATGGCGTTTAATGAGATGGCGACGGATGTCGATATGGGGACATGATGCTGGTATAAATAGCAATTGGACAAGATTAGAAGCATAATTCGATCAGCTCTCAATCAAGAAACATGGCTTTCAAGGTATCATATCAACTATGTCATAAAAATATCAATCTAAAAACTTTTGTTAATTTTTAGTTTGTCGCTTTTGCCGCCCTTCTGGCTGTGGTCAATGCCGGGGCACCAATTGGTTTCCATCAGGCCCATCCACTTGCAACCGCGGCGTATTCCGCCTCACCAGCGATTGCTTATGCGGCGTCTGCACCAGTAGCTCACTATGCTGACGCTCCAGTTGCTCATCATGCCTATGCCGCCCCCATTGCCGCCTATGCTGCTCCAGTCGCCAAAGCCGTCGTCGCTGAAGCCTACGACCCTCATCCACAATACTCCTTTGCTTACGGTGTAGAAGACCCTTTGACCGGCGACAGCAAGAACCAGGAAGAGCATCGTGATGGTGATGTTGTCCAGGGTTCTTACTCTTTGACCGATTCTGATGGTTTCCGTCGTACTGTTCAATATTCAGCTGATCCAATTAATGGATTCAACGCTGTGGTCCACAGACAACCTTTGGCTGTAAAGGTTGCTAAAGTTGCTGCACCAGTTGCTGCTTATGCTGCTCATGCACCACTTGCATACAGCTCACCTGCTTATTACCATTAAATATTGACATATTTATTTTTATATTGATGTACAAACAAAAAGACAAATATTTTGTTATAAGATGATAAATAAAAACTATATATATTAATATGTGCCCTTTTTTCTTTAAATTTAATTAAAAAATATTATTTATTCATCGCAGAAGACAATTTATGCAATCTAATTTAATTTTACGTCAAAGTTATTTGCGCTCTATTGTGTTTTTAATTATTAATGAAATTCCTGCTTCAATTAATTAATTAATTCCTATCGAAACTGAACTATAAACATCGTAAATTTAATTAGCATGAGATGAAATTATATAATCATACCTCATTCCTCGAATAATTTCTGGAATACATCCTACAAACTGTTCTGTATATCAAAATAGCCAAATCCGATTGATTGATATATGCGCCAATTTGGCAACTAAGAATTCCGAGCACATTGTCATATGCAAACAGTTCACCGGTAAAGACAGCTCCCAGTTACATGGAACATTGTGTGCGGCATTGTAACCGACGTGAATGTGAATTCTGAATATTAGTTATGTTTAGAGGGCCCAACCACAAACGTATTATGAATTTACGTGCGAGGTTGCAACAGCACAGCGCTATCAAAATCGATATTGTTGCTGCCTGCTACCAAATCAAACCAGCATAATAATAAGCGTGCATAACAGTTAACAAAACGGCGATGGCGATGTGGATGGCGATGGCGAGAAAGTACTTTGGAATCGTGTCAACCGAATAAATCAAAGCAGTTTTATTGCGGAATTAATCTTGACCTTACCCAAAACGCAGAGGTAGAAAAATGGTGAAGTAGAAGAGGTGGTAGGTGTACCATTCTGTTACATCATAGCTTTGGGTAGTACGGTTGTGGATAGGTATAAATATCGAGGTTTGATAGTTGATTGTTATCACACTCAGTCCAACTCTTGTACAATCAACAACAATCAATCAAAATTAAAAATGTTCAAGGTAGGTGCCTATTCAAACCATCTAAACCCTCAAAATATGGAATTATGGTTTAATATTTCTGTTTTTGTTTAGTTTGTTGCTTTCTTCGCCCTTTTGGCTGTGGCCAACGCTGGTCTCCTCCCAGCCGCCCCAGTGGCTTACGCCCACGCCCCAGTGGCCTACGCCGCCCCCGTTGCCAAGGCTGTTGTTGCTGAAGCCTACGACCCTCATCCACAATACACTTTCGGATATGGTGTTGATGACCATCTGACTGGTGACAGCAAGACCCAAGAAGAACACCGTGATGGCGATGTGGTCCAAGGATCTTACTCTTTGACCGACTCTGATGGTTTCCGTCGTACTGTGCAATACACCGCTGACCCAATCCACGGTTTCAACGCTGTTGTACATCGTGAGCCTTTGGCCGTTAAAGTAGCCGCCCCCGTCGTCGCTAAAGTAGCTGCTCCAGTCGCCTATGCCGCCCCAGTAGCTCATGCTGCTTACGCTGCCCCAATTGCTCACCACGCCTACGCTGCTCCAGCCATCGCATACCACCATTAATTTTATAGAAACTTATAGATTTTTTATTTATTTGTTGATTTTTGAAACGAAATGAAATAGATATTTTATATGTCACACCAATCTGATATTATTAATATCCTTGGAAGTGCAAAGCAATCAATTTTAGAAGGGTTTAATTCCCATGACGTCGATTACTATCCCAACTATTTGTTATTAAGTAATATTGATACGTAGAAAGACATAAAACTAATTCAACTTAAAAAATCATAAATAACATCATAAATTTCATGATTTAGAAAATTTTTCAATAAAGGAATCCAATTTTTCTTATTAACAATATCAAAATATACGATTTAAAAGCCCATATGTAAATATATACAAAGAAATATTACCCTGCTGTGGCATTTCTGAATGTATAATTCAAGAGGCAGTAGCACACGAGCAGTTCGCAAGCTTTACCGGTACCAATGGCACATTACGCATCATCTACATGATGTTCGCATAAAATTAAGCTCCCTTGCACTGCAAACGACGCCCGGGGTTTCGCCATCTTAATATTTGGTCGTTACCAAATTTCACCTATTGCCCTCCTCCTACCCTACCGTACCCACTAGCAAAGGTATTCTCTTTTCGGGGAACTCTAGAAATTGAGCTTAATATCCGAGTGCTTTTCGAAAGCACTGTTTTAATATGCAAATGCTAACTATTCAAACGCAGCCATGTCGTCGTTTCACTAACCTTTTCGCGCTAACATATTACTTTTCGCATCTTCCTTTGAAAGCTCTTTCCGCCCGCTGTTTCCGCAAAAAGCCCAGCGATATAGCACGCACTCGCAGATAAAACATTGCCAGGTAGTTTATTACGCTTACCTGGAACAAACAAACAAAGATATAAATTAGAGTGACATTTTTCTTATTACGCGAGATGTTGAGATGGAGCTCGCATTACTTTATGAGAGGAATCTAATATTTTAAACTCTGGCAGACAGCGCAGTGTGCTGGCTAAGTTTAATTTGAGAAATTTGTCTACATCCACTTTCATAAATTCTGCTTTATTATTTGATTTTTTGCAATGAAATTCAACTAAAAGTAGAAAAAGAAAATAACACTTTTTAACGCAATATCATGTCAAGCTTTGATAGAATATTAAGTATTTAAGTGGCTAAAAATTAGTTTTAGTCACCAGATTGATTTAAGATCGAGCGTAGAGAACGTTTAATCAACCGAGTGTTTAACAACATTTAGCCACGTCTTGTGCTGCACCGCAGGCAAATGCGCAGGCTCCACCCCGTGACTAAAGTACTTTTGACACGGCCTTGGCCGCCCGAGTTTAAAATACCACTTTTGGTGTCTCAGAACTGTAGAAAACTGGCAAAGTAAAAAAAAATAACAAATTCTAACACAATATGATGTTAATCTTTAATGGTATTAAATTATTTCGTGTGACAAATATGATCAAAAGGAATTAGTGATGACATTTGCAAACACAAATTGATATAACACGCTTGATTAATTAATGCGGAAGCGCACGTTATTCGCACGTACACGTCTTCTCGTCATATATGCAAAACTCCCGAAAATGTTTATGCTGATGCCGATGCGCATGTTCACGCTTGTATGGTTAATTAATGATTACAAATGATCACGACCTACGCTGAATTTCAACTCGGAATTCGTAGTATTTTAAATAATCCGCACACAAAAAAGAGCACGCGTTCGCATACATTCAATCACACTCAGCAAACAAAAATAACAGAAATGCGGAACTATTAAAACATTAAACTGATGATTTCAAACCGAAGCGGTGACATTGTTGACACGTGCGGTATGCGTCCAACATGATTGATATTTCCATACAAAAACTGAATTTTTATGATGATAAATACACGTTTATATAAAAGTTAAAATATACGTGAGTAAATCTAAAACGTATGCTCGGTGTAAGTGTCAAACATTATAGTTTCACTTTATGACTTTACATAAACGCGGAATACGTAATTTTGGTGGAGGAGCACCAGATCTATAACGGCTGCATGAAGGAGACAGCCTTGGTTCATCAAGTATACCTACAAAGCTCCAAAATGTAAAACATTAAATATTTTTACGATTGCGTATAAAACCATTCCCTATTCGCCGCGATGGCACTTTCGTCCATTGTCGTTCGGATCCAACACGAACAAACCGCCCCCAGCCCATCTTGGGCAAGTCATTGTCATCGGCAATGTTATACTTATTACTGCCAACATTATATCGTTCCGTTGTTGAACATAGAACATGGAACGTTTAACGCGAGTCTAGACTGGTAGACCTAGCCTAGGTCCGTTTTTGCTGTCATTGGCGCATTCGCACGTACAGATTGTATTTCTGACAATATAATAAAAGCTTTTATTGTGCGACAACAATAAGCCACCATTCCGCTGGAAGCAATATGTGAATTTTACAGATTCCCCGACGAGCATCGGCGCCTTTGAGTGTAGAGTGAGTGTGGAGGGAATGAGGTCACAAGATTTAAGTGGCACATTAAATCTATCCAGGCATCGATTTGTTATATTTCAAATGGAAATTTGCGATGCTTTCACACTGGCGGAGATATATGTGTAGCATTATGTAAATATATGTAGATTACTTCAAAGTGAGCATCTTTGGGGGGTGGCTGCAGGTATCTTTCACTCTATGAACATTCAGTTTATTATATTTTAAAATATTTATGTTGATATGCAAAGGTAAACTTTAAATTTAAATTTTTGAGGAATTTACATTAAAAATTAATATATTGCAATCGAATTAAATATTTAGAAAATATTAGAAATAGTTTTTCCACGGTTTTGAGACACAGAAAGTGATATTTTAAACACGGACGCCAAGGCTGTGATTAAAGGACTTTAGTCACGAGCTTTAGCCACGAGGCGGAGCTTGCGCCTGCGCATTAGCCTACAATGCAGCACATAATTAAATAGCTTTATGAAATTATTTACGTTAAAATGCAAAGGTAACTTTAAATTTTAATTTTTGAGGAATTTACATTAAAAATTAATTTTTGGGTATTTGAAAATACTACAAATTAAAATATTTGAATTTTAAATTAAATTCCATGATATTTTCAATTTTTAGCGAATATTTTTATATTTTTGGCTCAAAAAATAGAAAAAAATGTTTAAAAAACTTAACGATGCATGTAATATTATATAGTTGCAATAATCGTGTGATGTTTGTACTTGTAACAGTTTTATACACATTAGTATTTCAAGAGTAATAACAAATCAAATAATAATTATGAGGTTTTGCGATTGTTCCAATGATACGTTTGTAAACCGAAGAATTCTAGATACACTGAGGATGAATGGTGCGCGCATTCGAATTCGGATATGAATAATAAATTAAATTTAAATGAGCACCGGCAGAACGCACCTGTGCGTTGTGCATGTTTCGGCGTTACATTGTTTTACGGCCAATGTCGAACGATATACTCTCGTATATACACAATGCTGGGGCTAGCGCTGGATGCGATCATGTTTTATTCGCATGCACACAATGTACGCACGCACGTTTCGAATGAAATCGATAAATTAATTTTACTCGCCGTAACTTTATTAGCGAGCGCGTATGGGACGGAGTTGATCTGCTTACGATTCGATTGCAAAACACAAAAACGAGCGTTTGGGTATTGGACCATCGGCGTATAATACTGGTTTGGGAATTAGTTGGCGTTTTTGAGGTCTTCGCCAAATGCATGTATTAGAAATTCACTTCTGTAATAAATAAATAATTCACCGAGGAGAATCGAGAGGGTGTGCCGGAGCGAGAAGATGAAGTTGCGTAAGTTTCGGCTAGGTATAAATTAAGCGTGACTGCATGAGATCAACATTCAGTTAGAAGCATCCAAACATACAACTTCAAAAATGGCATTCAAGGTAGGTTTACTAAATAAAAAATTAAAATTTAAAAATTTAAATTAAAAATTTTAATATTTTCAGTTAGTTGCATTCGCCACCCTTTTGGCCCTTGCCCAAGCCGGTGTAGCCCCAGTTGCCTACAGTGGATACGCCGCCCCAGTAGCCCATGCCGCCTACGCCGCCCCCGTCGCTCACGCTTACGCCCACGCCCCAGTCGCCTATGCCGCCAAAGCCGTCGTCCCAGAACCATTCGACCCCAACCCACAATACCAATACGGATACGGCATCAACGACCATCTGACCGGTGACAACAAGAACGCCCAAGAAGTCCGTAACGGTGACGCCGTCCACGGTTCCTACTCCCTCATCGACGCTGACGGTTTCAAGCGTACTGTCGAATATACCGCTGATGATGTTCATGGTTTCAACGCTGTGGTACATCGTGAACCCCTTGCAGTCAAGGCTGTAGCCGCCCCAGTTGTTGCCAAGGTCGCCGCCCCCGTCGCCTATGCTGCCGCCCCTCTCTACCACCACTAAGTCATCCATTATTGTTACCCAAAATGTCTTAAGATTTATTTATGAAATGTTATTTTAATTTATATTAAATGTGCCAACAGAAAAACTACTTCTACTTTCATTACTCGAAAATTATTCATACAGCATAAGCATTCACGTGTTGTTCACCTACACAAACTCGCGTGTGAGGTGTGTGTGAGTGTTACATTTCTTCAACTTCTTCGGCAGCTTACATAACCGCGCCTTGCGCTTTTGCTTACACTCGATCGTTGGAAAGTGTGTCATGGTCAGTTCGTTTAGTCCAGTACTAGTCCACGAACCCATCCATATGAAATACGACGACTACATAACACAAGAAGACAGACAACGCGAGCATAATATTGAATTTTAATGAGAAAGTAAAAGTTGACTAATTTCTTTTCACCTTTCAAGTGACATATTATAAAATAAACTATTATCCAACTTTTTTTCCTCGGGTATCCTTTGGGAAATGAAACTTTCCACGTGAATTCAACACGAAAAAAGTTTTCTTGTTGAAATAGTCATTATCTTAGTAATTATCTTCAAATACCTCGACTTTAGTGTTTAAACTCAAACACTAATACTATGTTAATTAGTATATCATCTTATTCGTCATTATTGCCTGCCCGTTGGAGCGATAACAAGGACTACCAAGCCAAATTGCGTCACATCCTCGAGTTACCAATAATGCAGGTTAATGGTGAGAGAGGTTAGACATACAATGAAGCTTTGCACATCACCACTGCGCCATATCCACATCTCGATTACTATATTACGGGTGCAAACATCTGAGAGTACCTGCCGAGTTCCGCGGCAAACACGTATGCCCCGAAGACGGTTTTGATCGATGGCGGAAGCGCGCAGCGTCGAGATGTGCGTTTAACAACCCTGAAGCCGAAAACCACGTCGGGTGAATGAGAAGATATTGGGTGTGTGCCCACTTTGTCTTGAATTGATGGATCGGCAGATTGATCTTAAAGATTCACTGCCGGAGTGAATCCCGTTTTCATCTTTTTCCTGTTATTTTAGGCAACTGAGATAAATGGAATCCTTTTTCTTCTTTCTTTCCTTGTGCTTGTCCATGTCATGTCTGATTTATTAAGATTCACTTTTAATAATCTATTTTTATGTATTTTTATGAATTATTAGTCAATTTATACAATTTGAAGGTTGTTTTTGTTTATGATGAACAACAGTTTTGCTTGTAATTAAATTTTTACGGCAATGAAGAAATTAAACAAATGCACATTTAATTTTTAATTTTTTTTGGCGCTTAAGGCCACATTTTTGTGCGCTGTGAAAAATGCTTGTTTTTGAATTGTGTGTAAACGTATCCGCAATAATAAATATTTACTTTATATTCGCATGGAATGTGTTTTATAAAAATATTAAAAAATAACAAACATGTTACTCTTTAAAAAATATGCGCTATAATCCTCTTTACTCATATGTGGACAGTATCGATGCATATGTGTGGAAAAATGTGTCGAAAGTGTAGCATTGGCGATTTGTTGATTAGTTTTGCGCCCGCGACCATAAATGTCAGAGCAATAAAGCAATATCGCGATTTTCGATTTTCGACGCGCCATTATGGTGAGCGCGCGTGATATACATTCCGCATGTGATGCAACGCATCGCAAAGCCGTTCGACAGCAAATATCAATAACCGTTCGCGTCAGGCCACGTCGTGTCGTTGTATATATGTAAAATTTGAACTAGAAATCCGATTTAGATTTTTTATTTCAATTCGATTCGACATGCATGCGTCATGTGTGAATGTCATATTATGCGGTGTGATGAAACGTGCAAGTGTAGTAGCGAGTAGCGCCAACTGGCGGTTACCAGCAGCGATGGTGACCTTATCCGAGGTGTGGTCCTTTCGAATTGTGAAGGTATCCCCACGACGGTCAGTGGTGTACCGTTTAGAGTGGTACCGGTGCCACTTCTTTAAACTTTGAGGCATGCAGAACGAAAAAATGAAGTGGAAATGATGCTTAGTATATAAAGAAGTCCAACTTAGAGTTTATCATTGTATCCAACCAGACACAAACCAATAGACATCATCATGGCATTCAAGGTATATCTACATTAAAATTTTATAATTAATTGTAGGTAATTAATGATTTTTTAAAATTTTTTTTAGGTTGTTGCTTTCTTCGCCCTTTTGGCTGTGGCCAACGCTGGTCTCCTTCCCGCTGCCCCAGTGGCTTACGCCCACGCCCCTGTGGCCTACGCCGCCCCAGTCGCCAAGGCTGTTGTTGCTGAAGCCTACGACCCTCATCCACAATACAACTACGGATATGGTGTTGATGACCATCTGACTGGTGACAGCAAGAGCCAACACGAACAACGTGACGGTGATGTTGTCCAGGGTTCTTACTCATTGACCGACTCTGATGGTTTCCGTCGCACTGTTGACTACACCGCTGACCCAATCCACGGTTTCAACGCTGTCGTCCGTCGTGAACCCCTTGCCGTTAAGGTCGCCGCCCCAGTTGTTGCTAAAGTAGCTGCTCCAGTCGCCTATGCCGCCCCAGTTGCCCATGCTGCTTACGCTGCCCCAATTGCCCACCACGCTTACGCCGCCCCAGTGGCTCATGCCGCCTACGCCGCCCCAGCGTACGCTGCCTACCATCACTAAGCAATCAAATGTGAATATCTAGTCTTAAGCTGTTTTTCCTTCTTTGTTCAATAAATTATTCTTTGATCTAAAACCATCTCATTTTTTGCTGCACCACGAAAACAACGCAAGAGAAAAATCGCAAAAACACTAAAACCAACTAAGTCAAACTAGACGAGTGACAAGATAAAAAAAAACTAACGCTGTTTTTCGTGCATTCTGAAGAAAAACATGCCTACAATGGATGAGGATAAGCGTGAAAGGCATTCGTGCATGCCGGCAAGATCGAGTTATACGGATTTCAAAAGCTCGCATAATACACACGCAAAAAGACGGCGCTGCCACACGTCACGGAATGCCGCCTCCGAGCGCCGCCGACGCGAAAACCATACCGCGCAGCCTCTGTTTGTTTGCGCACTGGCTCAGCATAATAGGATTATTATATTCCAGCAGTGTATAAACGAATGCAAATTCTTTTTTCATTGCCTACCAAGAATGAAGCACGAAAAATTTCACAATCGCTTAAAACTAACTCACTTTCAACATAAATTGAAAAATCCACTCATATATAATACGCTGACTAAGTAGAGTTATTCAATGAAAGAATGTGCGACAATAAAATTGTAATGATACGCCAATAGTTTGCGAATAGATCACGCAAAGTTTGAGCGCAAGCAGCGCAATTTCGTAGCTTTTAGTAAATTACCCGTTAGCTGTATTGATTGCTAGCCCATTCCGTTTTCGGCTGACGCCGCTGCACATCCGAAAGCGTTCGAATTGCAATCGCGCGTAGTCCTCGGAGGCGGCGAATGGACAACGCCGACGTTTTATGTACTTTTTATACCAGCCAGCGCGCAGCGGAAGAAAGCACCGTGTCGCGGTGTCGCACCGTCAACCGGCTGGAATTTAAACCTTTGTTTGCGCACATAAATCTCGACAACAAGCAGCTTACAATAAAAAAAATATAAGAGGTTTAGCATGCTCCTCCCGAAACAGCCCGCCGACTAGTGTTCCAATCATGTAATAAAACATCAGAAAATGAAATAGCGCAGATTTGAGGTTATGATCAAGATCTTTCTTCTGTCAACAATATGTAAGATAATGTGAGGTTAGGTATACTGCACAAAGTAAACTATTAATTCTCGATCATATCGTAGGTGTAGCGCTTTGACAACCAATATTATTTATGCTGATTATGTTTATTCAATACGCGCGAAACGTCAACATGCGAAGCGCGTTGTCGCTGCGCGCCTTGCTCCGTTTTCCTTTGCAACGTCCTCGTAATAATATACGCCAACCCGGACATAATTACATTAACGTTGGCGGCGTCGGCGGCGGCGGAGGCAGCGGCGCCCCGCCATTTATAGACCTGCCACCCAGCATAAATTCTGCGCGCATCGCGTCGAACGGCGCGACACATTTCGTTATAATTAATGCCATCGGAAACGAAAACATACTCATCCAATTTGTATTCAGAGAGCGCCGTTGTTTGCAATGACACGACTTTTTCCACTCGCGCGCCGCCTCCCAGGAGCATATGCAAACAGCACGTGTGACGGCGTGTTTTGTGCCGCGCCAGTCTTCACCCAGAGCACAATAATGAGAGTAAAAACAAGGCGCAAAAGAGCTTCAAGCAGCCATGGCAGCAAGACAAGGGCCTAATTAAATTGTAATTATGAGTGACGCGTAAAATTGAGCTTTCACTTTTTTTACACACTTGACATCAACATCTTTACCAAGAGAAAATAATATATATAAATTCTTGCACCAATTTATTAAATATATACTAGCGCCATCTATATATGAATGCCTCAAGTAAAAAATATTCATTTTTTTATCAAAACACAAACAATTCACGGATTTCACGAGAATGTGAGCGTTCAATTCGAATCTCAGCCAAGATAGACGTTTAATTAAATTAGCACCGTGCAAAAGTTCAATCCGAGTCGAGTTTTACATTTTAATCGAGTTTGCTTGTAAGTAGCCAGCAACATCAAAGAGGGCACACCGACGCCACCAAATGTTTATTCACGTAATTAGAACAACTTTCCAAAGAAAATCCAAACGCTTTTCATAGAAAAACAAAAAACCGACGCCATGTACATAATTAAGTTGTCTGGCGCCTGGAATTACCAAAATGTCTAATTAAAAACTCACCTCATTGTTATAGGGCGGTGCGATCGGTCCGTCATTCGTCTCCCATTTGTTTGCGATCCGAATGGTCTCGGCCGTCTTCTCTTGAACTGATTTGCTGTCATCGAGAAGTGTTAATTCGTAGAACTCTTGAATATCTGCGAACACACCGAAAAGAAAGCACTTGTGAGTTGAATAAATGACTTCGAACGATGGTAATGCAATCAGCCGGCGTAAAAAAACAGTTTTTGCACGTCTGCACACTGAAAGTAGACTTGGAAATCCGTAAAGCAGATCATTAATGATTTTTCTAAATAAATTGCCCTGATTCAAACCTTTCACCGTAAAACGCACCTTTTTTCTTTATTCACTGCTTTTTTGTGTAGCGTCTATTCGGAGGAATAAATCGAAGGAAATCAAATTTGATAAATCAATTTCACACAGAACGTACGTAAGCGGCCAAAGCCGGGATTTTGAGATGAAATTCACTTTTTTGCCTATCCGCCCATCATTCAAACACAGCCTGCGCGCATTGTGAGATATTCCACCGCATTCCGTGCATGCTTTCTTTTCTTCATTCATATACAAGAGGGAGGTTTATCTCAAGCCGATGGTGAATCTATTTCACTTAAAACGGACCGTCCGGAAGGCAAGGTTTTCTGGGAATATTTTATTAACTATGCTAGGAACTCACATCAGTCGCCACGCGGATAAATTCCAGGTTAAAACGGTTTGCTTTGTTGTTGCACACTTCACGAATATTTATATCAAACTGATTACAAGATAACATTTGTTATTGTGAGAATAAACACGTTCTCACTTGGTTCAACAACGCCGCGCTACGCGGTTGTAAAAAGTTGTAAGAAACAAAATATATTTTGAATTACAATCTTAAATAAATAATTCTCTACGAATTTACAACCCCTGCGAGCGTTACCGCTTGTTAATGTTCTTAATTTACTTACATTCAACTCCCAGCGAGGAGGAATGGCATATCAAAGAAGCGGAATTATCGCGTGATAAAATGTAAGATAATAGCCATTTCTACGCCCGCACATAAACAGAAACATGCTGGGCATCATAACGCCAACGTGAATAGCGCATTAAACTTGAGAATAACAAGCTCAACGGAAACACAATCATCCCAGAAGTCTTACAAGTCTTGCGGATACAATAACCAACCGAAATGAAAAATGTCTGAAAGGAATGAAAACGTAAATGGCAAAAAATGTAATTCCTCGACAATTAAAATCTCTTACAACCGCGCAAAATTCATTACATAGCATCGTGATGAAAACCAAGTGGAATTAATTCAGCAAGGCGCGAAATTCTTGGTAACGTCTTTGTAAATCGCAGCTATTACGCGGAACTAGGAGCAAAAGGAAAATAATTCTTGCGGAATAGCGAATTCGTGGAATTGAAATGGAAAAACGGTGGCGCGGTTCGCATTCTTCGGGCGTCGCTTGGGCCATAATTAATCACATTCACGCGGACCGCCACACCACCGGATAGAGCGTGGGCGTGATTGACGTCGATAAAATGTGTGTGACATACCTATGCAACGCATCGCGACAATTCGAACATGTGAATCCTCGCGTGATTGACGCGGTTGAATATTTCAAATATGCGTGCGGATTATTAATGTATTCGAATGTTCGATGCGACCGCATAACCTTTTGTCCTTTTGGACAACTGATTAAAAAAGCACTGATCAAAAAGCTCGCGATTAATCAAAAACGTGTATAGGACAGCTGAAAAAAGTTCAAAGATTTATCTATGTAATAATATTCAACATGTCATTTCGTTTTTTAAATTTTTGTATAATAAAGTCATCAGAAGAAAAAAATAAACGTTCGTTAAATCGACTCAAAATGTAAAAGTTTCCATCCAACCCGTTGCATTATTGGATTTTCCAATTTCGTTCCAATGGCCTGGGGGGTAATGTTATTTAAGACTTAGTGATATTGAGATTGCACACCTCATTAATTCTTTTCTAGTTTAAGCTGCGCGGAGAGTATTTTATCGCGACCACAAGATCTATGTCTTACTTCCCTCATCTTCACAACTCATTTCGCTTTTGGAAACGAAAACTTTTGTATTATTTTCTTTTCAATTTCGCCCCATTGGCCGCACGAACATCTCTGCGTAATTTTTGGTTTCACTCTGCTTTCATTCGGGTAGAGGCATAAGAACTTCTCTTTAGTGAAAGCTCTGACATCCTGGAAGCGAAGCGCTGTGCGGCAATAAATATCCACAAAACTTGCCTGGCATGTTATTACATGGCCGGATTAAAAACGCGAGCTTTTTCCGCATTCCCGAGACAAGCGGGCATTCGTGCGGACAAGGATCAACTGAAAAATAACAAGGGCGATTTTTCATACTAGTATTACCCCAGCGGAGGAATTTTAATACTTTGCGTGCTGAATATTCTTTTCTCTACGATATCACACTGGTAACAGTTTATGAAGACAATTAGTACGTTTTCATATCAAAAGCGGAGCTTCCCAACCAGTGTAATGTTATGTGCATCTTGATAATACCAACTAAAGTAACTATTTCTTTTTTTGCGCGCGCTGTGCGCTCCAAGAGAGGAAAAACTTTGCGATGGCGCACATTAAACAAACCATTAAAGAATTTATTGTGCGCAAAGATTCCTTCGCTTCCGCCGCGTGCCATACAATGCAAAAATAATGGCGGGGAAATTTACAAGCGCGCAAAACTTTTTAATTTACCACTTTGAAAATCGCCAACCACAATGCTTAAATGTAATGTAATAGAATCAGTGGATACATTAGCTGATTAGATCCATTGTTTATTCGGGTTTTGGTGATTAGAAAAATTAATGAAGCCTTTAATTCAATGCAGAAGATAATCATACAGAAAGGGTTTTCA